GAAACTCAAAGAACCATTCTTCCTTTTACACCAGATGCTAATAAGTCTTCTCTAAAAAAAAAACACACTTACTCACTTTAATAAGCTGCCAGTTGCATTTTCACTGTCCCCTCTGAAAGCTCCCAGCGATGCTGGGAGTCCAGTCTTTTATTTGCTGCTTTATTATTAACTTTCCTTTACTACTCTGGGTTTCTGAACTATTTCAAAAATGATTCAGCAGAAACCACACAGAAACGAAGGCGCCATTTCTGGCTCAGTGAAGAACCACGTAGGAAGGTCCACACCACCACATTAATAAATCAGGAAGAGTGGAACCAATCGGATGTTCATTACACCCCAAAACCTCTGTGAAGGCCAGGTTCGGGATCAAACGCCGGACCCCCTTTGTCATTAGCACAGGGGTGAAATGGTGATGTTCACCAGCCACACTACGGCATCTGGACAGACATTATCTACCCTGCAAGGTAAACAGGGGGAGGGTGCCTGTCCACTTCATCCCTGAGAAAATGAGGCAATAACACAGTGACTTCCTTAAAGGGAAAAGGTCAAGCAGCTTGCAAAGGGTGAGGACATCCCCTTTCCCCCGAGGCAGTGGTTCTCCATCCTGTTTGCACATTAGAATCCCCTGGGGAGTACTGGAAAAAAATACTCAGACAAAAAGCCCCACCAAGGCCAGGTCAGCAAACCAGAGCAAAGTGCCATCCCAGACCAAGCCTAGAAGTGGTGCCCGGGCGTGTGTGAATAGCTCTCCGGGTGGTTCAAAGGCACAGGGTTGAGAACCCCAGGCCTCTACCTCTAGATGCTTTAAAGGCCACAGTAAATGACAGTTGTAACAAGGAAACACAGCTGTGTAGCTGAACCAAGTATGTTCTCAGATAGGGCAAAAAAAAAAAAAAAAACAGGGAGGGAGAAAAAGTCCAATAAGAAATACGATTTAATAAAATTCCAAAGGAAAATGCGTTCATAAGAGCTAAAGAGCCAAGCTCAACAGGTAGGTATTTACACACCACATTTTTTCTGGTTTTATGTCCCCCACGCCCACCCCCACCCCCCAGAAGAGCAAATTTCCAAACAAATAACTATACACAGGCATGTGCGTCCCAAATGTCAGGAGTGAAACGCTAAGGAAATTCTTTCCAACATCTGAGAGTAATTTTGTACAATACCTCATTGCTCCTATGTGCTCACCTTAAAGAAGCAAGAGCAGAGTAAAATAACTAAACATCCAAATGCAGTAATAGTTTTTCTCTCCTATTAAGCACGCTCTGAAACCCACTAATTATTTCCAGAGGGAACTTCTCTCGTAACATGGTACTCCGGAGGACAATTTGGTTCTCAGGCAACCAGGACTCCATGTACTGGCGGTAACACTAAGGGGAAAGTCTGTGACTCAAAGAACCCTCCAGAAATGAGAGATTCCCAGCACAAGAAATAGTTATATTTAGTGGGGATTTCATAGTTCAGTCTTGCTCTTCCCCACTACCTTCCCAAAAACAAGAAAAAAATCGTAAGAACACTCAACGTCCCCCCAAAGACTGCAGACACGAGCTCTTAACACTTCTAGGATCTTCAATATAGATGCGCACGCGCGCACACACACACACACACACACACACACGCATACACACACCTATGAATGCACCTAACACATTAGGTTTGTTAAAAACACCACCAGGTACACAATAACCTCAAAATGAAGCTACAAGGGAAGAAATTTTTTTCAGCTCAATCTACAGGACATGAGTCCCAGGCAACTGACAGTTTCCTGCCTGTTTCCTAAGTGCTCAGTTTGCCTTCTGTTAATGAAACCCCCATTCTAGAAAACTAATGTGGCTTCCTTTCCCCTCTCCTTCTTCCCAAACCCATTCTCTTTTATCTCTGCCCAATAACCGGCTCCAAATGTGTTTGTTCTGTTTCTCTCTTTGTTTTTCCCCAAAGGGAAAAATTAATGGTCGAGTGGGTTTAATTTTTAAATTGGTCCAAGAGGTTTAAAGAGGCTGTACTGAGAAGAAGAAAAAAAAAAAAAAAAAAAAAAGCAAATGGAACTCTCTTGAAAATGGTTACACATTAAACACATATCTTACCGTCCAGGCTAAGGAGGGGTTTTTTTGTTTGTTTGCTTTGTTTTTTATTTTTGTTTTTTATTTTTTTATTTTTAAAAAAATTTTTTTTTCAACGTTTATTTATTTTTGGGACAGAGAGAGACAGAGCATGAACGGGGGAGGGGCAGAGAGAGAGGGAGACACAGAATCGGAAACAGGCTCCAGGCTCCGAGCCATCAGCCCAGAGCGTGACGCGGGGCTCAAACTCACGGACCACGAGATCGTGACCTGGCTGAAGTCGGACGCCCAACCGACTGAGCCACCCAGGCGCCCCATGTTTGCTTTGTTTTTTAAATAAGGAGAGTTCTTAAATTCTGTTGGAGATCTGAAGGTTAGTTTATTCAGCAAGAATAACTCTGTTCACTGCTCCAGCTCCTTCTTGTCACCACCATCAACATCCACACATTCCAAACCCTGGAAAATGTGAGGGAGTAACAAGAAGGCTGGGGCTGCAGAAGGTTCCATTTCCGTGTCCAAAAAGCACCTAAAGCTGCCAGCGTGCCCCATGGGGACGGAAGGCAACCTTGGGGACGGATGGGTCACAGCACACAGAAGCAGGTGCACAGACTCAGGAGACGGATTTCTCAGAGAACAGAGCACAACTGGGGAAGTGTACCTGCATCACCACCAAATAGAACTAATCAAAAAGAATAATCGTAATAATGAAACACCACAAAGCTCCTTGACCGTTTGCCCAGAGCTACTACAGGTTTTGAATACAATTGGCTTTTTTCTCAGTAACCTCATCTCCTCTTAGAAGCTAAGGTTCAAGTCAAAACCAAGCAGACTTCCAAGCCACGGGAAAAATAACCCGAGACTTACAGGCATGCCAGAAAGTTTGTGGCTAATTTTACAACACGCACCGCCCAGTGAGGTCACACTGCAGGAAGTCGGTCCTGTCGCACACAGGAATAAATAAAATAATGACAAGCAATAAGCCAACGGGCGCCAAGTCGTAGCTGAGAAATAAACGGGAGGTGGCACCTCACCCAAATGAGCGAGCGATTCAAGTCCAAGAAAAATCTTTCTTTCAAGTTTATGGAAATTGACCCTTAGCCTTTCCAAATCCTTTTCTGTTCCTGAATCCTCGGTACCTGGACTCATAATTTAACGACAACATTAGATTCGTGCGTCGCTTCCTTCTCTGTACTTTTCTCACCAACATACCAGTCGGACGCCCTTAGCCACCACTTTTCTAAGGAAAACCCGAGAAGACAGAGGGTGTGCAATGCAAAGAGAGGCAAGAGGAGAGGAGTTGCTCCCCACACAGAAGCCCTTGCCCAGAGAGGGTGTTTCAACAGGTAAGCAAGAGAGGAAAATTTTAATTCCAGCTCCTCCTAATCTGGTTACAGGGGGCCAAGGCTTCCCCGCTAAAAGTACAAAGAGGATGGGGCCCCAAAACACCAAGCGTTTCTAAAGCTAAAAGTAAATTTTAACTAGCACTTTCGGTTGAAAGAGAGAGAGCGAGCCCCTTCGTATCTGCTGCTTTCATTCACCTTCTCTGGTTCCTTCTTAAATAATTATTTTTCCCTACTGATGCTGTCTACGAAATTTTGTACCCGATTAAAAAATGTATCTTTCAGGACCTCGAAGATTTTTCTACAATTTTTGCTTTTCTTCCTTGAAACGGTGCGCGCTCTTTTCCGCCTTCTGACAATGACACTCACACCTGTCACCGGATATTCATTCTTCGTTGTTGTTCTCTGCTTTCGTTCCCTCGTGTGGTCCTATTTCTCAATTCTTTTCTCTCAACTACTTCCTCCCCGGCAATGATCTCCAATTATTCCCCCTTCCCATCCAGGCAGTCTCCTTGGCATATAGTTTTCCTTTGTCCCCTGGGAGTTTGAGCCCTCAATTTTTTTCCCCCTTGATACAGAGGGCCCTGAACAGTGACTCTGGGTCTCAGACCTTTCTGGTTACCCGCGTCTTTGCCCTTACTCCTTGTCCCATCTGTCCATGATACTGACACCGATCATCTCCCTTCTCCTTGACCAATCTAGCTTTGAGGCAAAGAAAAGGTTTCCCCTGTGTTCTTCACTCTCCTTTTGTTCCCCTGGGGCACATACCTTCCTCACCTTTTCTACTCTCATTCCCCAATGGAGCAACGCGGCTCTCTCCTTGGTATTTAGTTTTTAATGACCTGTTGGCCTCTACTAGCAATGACACGGGCCATCTGAAACACACCGTACCTGATGATCGTGTGCTATGAGATGTGGCCAACCAGAGTCTGGGTCCACGGTAGGTATGGTATATGCCACATTTATGTTTCTAACAGCAATGACAGACTAATCCTAATCCATTTCTCTTGTGACTATTGGATTATACTTGCCAGATGGCCTGCTGAGCTTAGGGGCAGGGAAGGTGCTATGTCCCCAGTCAAAGAAGAGAAATGACTGGTTCAACTCGGGCTGAAGCCTCTGACCTTGGGTTCGTTAGCCCGGAGCACCAAGCAGCCACAGCCATGTCATGGCCATGGCCCTTGGCTAAACGCAAGAACCCAAAGCAGCAGGTCAATTTAAACCTCAACAACTCAAGAACAACCACATCAAGACCGAGAGATCGGCTGGCACACCGAGAAGAAAGTGAACTTGAGATCAATCCGTCTTCCCCGTTCCCACGATCCCCCTCAGGGCAAAGGGTAACCCTCACCCCTGCTTCCCTGTCTTTCCGTACTGGCACTTGAAACGCAGGCCACTTTTAGGGCCACCTCATCCATCCTGAACGTCAAAGCCGCCTCGAACAGGAAAGAGAAACACGGTTCTGATTTCAACAAAAATCCACAGACAGTATCAAAACCACTTTTCTCTCCTCTCCGATCACCGCCAAACCAAGTCCCCTTACCGGTGGACGTAACGAAATACATCAGGGGGGAAATAGATAAAAGTAAAGTGTATTTACCTTCTTCTGTTTCATGCCACACGATCCCTTCCAAATTCACACTGGTCCCAGGTTCACAGGGCCCAAGACACTCTGGCTCTGTCACTACTCCAACTTCACATGTATTGACACCCACGGAACGAGTCCGAACCAAAAGCTGTTCAACCGGTGCTGCAATATTGGATGAAGATGGGGAAAAGTAGGAGGGCAGAATCTGAGGCGTGAGGCTGCTGGAAATCGGCGGTGGTGGTGCTGGCACTGTAAACAGGGGGTCAACCTGAAAGACAGACAGGCTTACTGCAGGGTGCTGCATTCTCCGAGCTCCTTATAATGCAATCTGTTTATATCACTTCTAGAACACATCACCATTCCAAATTCCATTTGCAAGCAGAACAGACTTCAGGGGTTTTCGTGGGGCCACCACGTAAAGGAGGAGAGAAATGAGCGTTTGAGGTGTTTCACGCCCGACAGGGCCAACCCTGGGGATCCTGCTTCCGGGATAGACAGGCAGGACTCCCAACGTCCTAAATTCACCGATGGAGAACCGTCAGCCTCAGTCGATGTGCGTGAACTCTGCTCTGCAAAATTAGGACTCTTGCCCCCTTGTGATGAAATCTTACGTTCAAAACTACAGTATTTTCCAAAGGAGAAGCTCCAATAAACGCCACAGAGGCATCACTGGGCACTTCAGCAGGGGAGATGGGCTAACATCGTCTCCAAAGTACTTTATAAACCGTAATGAATTAAATCACCACGAAAATACATTAACTGACTCTGCTGAATATGTAAAATACATAAACTTGATTATACACACTCAAACACATAAACTGGATATTATTAGCATGCATTAAGCATCGACTCCTAATTAAGTGTTCTACTGCAAAGTTTAGCAGAATTCACATACGTGGGGAAATAAAGGCCTGTGCCCAACGTCAGCAGAACCGGGAGTTTCTCCAATGCCACATGTCCTTTAGTGGTTCGACTTGGAAAGGTCCCTGATGAGTCTGACCAAGTCCCGGGATTCCACCCTCAAAATCCCAGGAAATAGACATGGCAGCCAAGATAAGAGCCTACGGTGCAATGCCATGTCCTTTGCACCCCTATCCTAGAGAGCAGGAAAGGAGATCTTGAACCATACAATATTCAGGAGCCTGGCCGTGACGAAAACCAAAGGCTATGCATGTACTAAGTAGGCACATCTCCAACCAACCCACTCTCTCATCAGACCCATTTCGATTACAGTTATGACCGGGACAGAACAGTTTTAGCCCTGCTGACGGGTGGTCAGATGTAGAAGAGCCCAATGCAAAGCCCATCTACACCACGACTCCAGATCGCTTGCCTGGGTCCTCAAGTTACACACAGGTATCACCTACCTATAAGGGAGGCCATCTTGCGTGCTTTATCAGCTGAGCTAACAAATCTTATGTGTGCAAATGACACACAGAAACTATTTCTGGTAAAAGGCCATCCTGGTCTGTAGTTCCTACATGCCCAATTAACCTTTGTAAGAAACCAACGCTTGGCTATTAGACGTGCTATTACATAGTCTTTGTTGTTTAAAACACACACACACACACGTACACACACAGAGTGCGTTTCAAGACAAGTTATAGGAGGAGGCGTGCTCCTGGTTGAACAGCTGAAGCAGTCATGTGTGTGGGCTCCTTGTTCATATGACTGTAGGAACTATTCCTACAGTTTGCCTTTCGCTAAAATGATCAAGTGACGTTCACTTGCCTGAATGATCCAAGATGCAATAGAACAGCCCTTCGCCCATCTGCATGCGAAAGAAACTTAATTTCCTGCTCTCCAAGCTGCCATAAAACTTCTTTTGCTCCACGCTTTTTATTGTTCTGCATTCTTGATCACAGAGCCCAAGAAAGAAAAGCATTTAACGGTCCCAAACCCCAGATCTTGTGATTTATGCTTCCGCGTAAATGCAGCTTAATGTGGATCAAAGTTCACACTGATAGTTCCTATTTTAACACTGAGCTGACAAATGAAGAAAGGGGTTCCAAGGGAGGAAATGCAGGGGTGGGGGGCATGCAAAAAATCCATTGCTACCTTGTCGTCTGTATTAAACTAAAACATTTAGAACCACTTTCCAGAATTTAAAAAGAAAAAAAAAAAAAAAAAAAGGCCAAGAAAAATTATAAACCGGCTACTGGGTTGTTGTTTTTTTTTTGCATGTTTACCCACAAATTCTTAATTTGTACAGTTAGTTGTAAAATGGGTTTAATGACTGCTACACACAGAAACTGAAAAGACAAAACAGAACGATACTCTCAAAATACTCTTTAGATCACGTGATTGACAGCCTACGTTAATTCCAAGAAAATACAGTTTCAATCGGAGAAACAAGAAAATAGAATGAAATGAAAGGAGGGAAGGCAGCTAGGAGAGCATGAATTCCCTTTGGGAGATCAGGATACAATGAGGCAAAGCCTGCAATACAAAGTTTTAAGGACAGGGCATGTTGGATGCTAGTATTTTGGCTCTAACTCTGACGATAATTAGCATGTGACTTTGGAGAGTCACTTAACCTCACTAAGGACCATTTTCCTCACAACTGGAAAATGCATCCTCCAGCCGCCTACTGATAACAAATCCTATTACAATAGAATTCCTGGGCTAAATCCCCATTTCAGTGTAACTCCAACTACGAATATATCTGCACACAGGTACACACACACATGAACCTACTCCTTGGGATATGTAAGTGACTCCAAAGATCAAATTTCTAAAGAATCTAGAAGACTTGAGGGGAGAGGCAATGGTATCCTGGGCCTACGAGCAACTTAAGGTTTTTATTTCCATTCACACAATCCAAGGGCAGTGAACAAAGCTTAGTTGATAGCCATTTATCGAGCAGACCTCGGAACCCCGTCCCCAAGGCTTCCAGTGAGAAGCTAAGGTTCGGAGAGTCTGACTATAAACATGAACTTAATCATCAACAGTCCCCCAATACAAGACCACACCCCAGTGGTCTAATGGCTTCCATTAGAAGCCCCTCTTCCCCAGAGGTCACCAACCACAGAGGAGGGTAAGGAATCACAGCCACTCCCAGAGGTGTTTTACACTGGGAGGTATGCTACTTTTTCAAACATCACAAATTTTCACAAACACAAAAACTCAGGGACAAGTATGAATGTCTACTATCTCTTAAAATAATAACGAGATAACGTACGGGGCTCGGCCAGCGATTCCTCGTGGCATCAACTGACAGGGCTTAGGCCTTGCAGTGACCAGCTGAGTTTGCCTTTGCAGCCCTCCCCTGAGACAATCACAGAATGTCTGCCCCTAGAAGACCACGTAGCCAGCCTCCTCATTCTAGAGAGAAACTTGGCCTATATTTGCACAAAGGCAATAAGTAAGGTACCTCTGGGGGCAGCCCAAGTGAAAATAAAACAGCATCCTATAAGCAGTAGGAGTTCAAGTACACACACGAGGAGCCAAGAGAGAGGTGGAAGGGAAATAACTCAGTGTCTGAGGGCGCCTGGGTGGCTCAGTCGGTTAAGCATCCAACTTTGGCTCAGGTCCCGATCTCGGGGTTCCTGGGTTCAAACCCCGCGTCAGGCTCTGTGCTGACAGCTCAGAGCCTGGAGCCTGCTTCGGATTCCGTGTCTCCCTCTCTCTCTCTGCCCCTCCCCGCTTATGCTCTCTCTCTCTCTCTCACCGTCTCTCAAAAATAAATAAATATTTTAAAAATAATAATAAAATAAACAAGACAGTGTACAGAGTCGCTAATTCTTTCCGCCAGCGAATGCCCCCAGTAAGGGATGCCCCCTACAAAAGGTTTCAGTTCTCTTGTGAGTCTTACAGTATCTAAAACAAAGCCACATGCACCATGTGTAAAGCAGGATCTGGAAGGATTTTCAGCAGTGTTTTTACCTCCTACCAAAGATCAACTCCACTGCGCTGATTTCCAGGTCCCTGATCCATAGACGGAACCGTACCTTCTTCAACCAATGAGGCTCGTGAAGACAGAGAGAAGCAATGGTCCCTAGGAGAAGCCCCTCCAAGAGGCATACACTTGGACGTGGTAGTGGCGGCCCTCAGGTTGCGGTAGGTTCAAATCCCTACCTCCCTGTTACTCGCTGTGGGGGACCCCTGAGCAAATAACCTGGCTACTCAGAGGCCCAACGTCTGCATCTCAGAAATCGGAGGAAGAATAACAGTTACGCCCACAGGGTCACAGTGAAGACTCAGGGAGATGATTCACATAAAGTGAAGGCTCAGCAAAGTGCTTAGCTCAGTAAATGCTGGCTTGGAAAAAGAGAAAGAAAAAAAAAAAAAAAGTCCCTGGTCTGATATTACAGTTCTCTAACCCTGCATGCAACCTTACAAAGCTCCTTTTTATATCCTACTATATTTAACATAAATCTATAATCCCCTCCAAATGCATGGTTAAGTGCGGTTACAGTGTGTTAAAAGTATAAGAAAAAGGGCTTAACCCTGAGAAGCTCAGCCTGGGGGAAAATACTGCTCCTTTCATACGTTGGCATCTGGCAGCAGTCGGCCCAGCCTAATCGCCCCCCAATTTTACAGATCTTGATGAGCCCTAGACCTCTACAAAATCTCCTACTAATCTCTAGCCACACCTCTTTTTCATGTGCTGCCGCTCCCCCAAAAGTCGTCCCTGAGTCATCACAACTTGATCACATAGCCCCCCAATAAATAACGCCTACACACCCGCTACGTGCCAGGCACCCCGCGCAGGCTGCTAGCAGGACGAGAGCAGGTGCAACCCGAATGGGTCCGTGCTGTCCTGGGCTTACTGCCTAATCAGCAGGACTGTGCCACTCATCATCAAATACTCACGCAAGTACAGCAAAATTCCACCTGTAATTGCAGAACCACAATCAAGGGGCCGTCCATAGAACCTGAGCGCAAAACATAGCATGTAGTGAAAGGCAAGGCAGTGCAGGGATCAGTCTTCAGAGCTCGAATCCCACCTCCTTCCGTTACATAACCTTTAGGCAAAGTCACCTGATCTCTCTGGGACTCAATGGCTTCATCTGTAAAATGGAAATAACCCGTGCCTAAAGGGACTACTACATGAGCCCAAACAACCCTAGTCCAGGTCTGGGTATGGAGCAGCGCTCAATAAATAAGAGCTGTCGCCACGGCCAATATTATCATCATTATTGCAAATATAATTGAGATCTGAACTAAAAAAGAAATCAATGTAGGATTTGCTACATTCAAAGACAACTCACCGGAGGCAATTATGAATACCCTTTGCAGGGGGAAGGTACTCTACAATAGTACTAA